GAGGGGAGGGGAGGGGAAGGGAAGGGAGGAAAATCACCAGGTTAAGGTATAGCTGGAGTAGAGTAGTTTCAAATGCTATAATTTTCTCCCACATGTCACATGTGAAGAGAACCATTTGCAAGCTAGAAAGTGTCCAGAGGAGAATGACCAGAGTATTCTATTCCATTGCTCCCTTCCTTCCTTCCTCTTTCCCCACCCATCCACTCATTCAATGGTTTTCTCCTCACTCACTTAGTCATTGTACATCATTGACTTAAATTCCTGTTTCACCTAGAAAAGAGACTCCAGGGAAGGATATGATCTGTAAATCATGGGAAAGACGGGATAAATCTGTTCCTTGCAGGCGCCTGAGCAGAAATGGGATTTTCTGATGGAAGTGACAGGAAGGCATGTGGGGGTCATGGTAGTGGAAGAGTTTTCCAGCCCTGGGTGCCAATGGATGATGGGTTCAGTTTCCCTGTGGGACTTCTCTCTTGGAAGTATGTGATTGGAGGTAGAGAAATGGGGTTTTCAGTGTTGGGTGGCAGGCTGGCTGAGGTTCTTCCTTCATCCCGTGCTCCTATGAGCTCAGGGATCTGCAGCCACCTGGGCCACCGTGGAGGTGGAGAGGAGACCATATAGTTGGGTCCTGTGTCCTCACCTTACAACCAAAGCAGCTCCATTTCTGTTTTATATAATGGGATTCTCCATGCAGTTTATTTTGGAGGGGAGAAAGCCCTGAAAACATTCCATCGCTGCTAAAAAAATTTTTTTAATCCCAAAACTGGGAGCTAATTAAATCCCTGTGAGTCTCGGAAGCAATAATTTCTAGGATTTTGGGACTTAATTTTTTTTTTCCTATAAAAACAAGTCCATTAAAATTACAGCATAACCTTTGTTTTGCACTCCTAAATCCAGATATAATTGAGAGCAAGAGTTAAAGAATCACAAGTGTGGCAGGCAAATGGATTGAGATGTTATTTCGTATTGCTGGTTTTTGTCCTTCATTCCAAGCGTTGGGCGGTACCTTTGTGCTCCCTTGCCTTGGGTGTGGTATTGCTGAAGCTCACTGAAATGAGAAGTCCCCGGGAGACAACTGGTTTTGCAGGCTTTTGTTGTTTGAAAATCTGAGTTTTCTGAGGGGATTGGGCTGGGAGAAAGAAAAGGAGGAATGAGATGGAGTTGTGTGAGTAGGTCCTGGGAAGAACTAGCAGAATCCCTGAGGCTAGTGGCTATGCTCCCCCTTAAGGAGGATAGGCTCCAGGTGCCCAGGTGCCTTTGATCATCCAAAGCTGCAGAGATGTCAGCCTATGGAAGTATTTGGGGTTTAGAGGGGACCATTATGGATTGAAGTCTACAGTGTTTCTCCAACATGAATGTGCTCAGAAATACCTGAGAATCTTGATAAAATACAGTCTGATTCCGTAGGCCTGGTGGGGGGTCCTAAAAGTATGCACTTTTTTTTTTTGAGATGGAGTCTCTCTGTCGCCCAGGCTGGAGTGCAGAGGTGTAATCTTGGCTCACTGCAACCTCTGCTTCCCGGGTTCAAGCAATTCTCCTGCCTCAGCCTCCTGAGTAGCTGGGATTACAGGTGCATGCCACTGTGCCCGGCTAATTTTTGTATTTCTAGTAGAGGTGGGATTTCACCATGTTGATCAGGCTAGTCTTGAATTCCTGACCTCGTGATCCGCCTGCCTCAGTCTCCCAAAGTGTTGTGATTATAGGCGTGAGCCACGGAGCCCAGCCTTAAAATTATGGATTTCCAACAAGCTCTGAGGGACTCTGATGTTTCTGCTCCTGAGACCACACTTCGAGTCGCGAGAAGCTAAAAGGGCCGGTTCCATGTTTTCTGGGCACAACATAAGCCTTGCATTCTTAAAGCAAGGGGGGCCCTTCCAATAATAACAGAACTGGAATTTCCCATCAGCACAGCATAAAGGGATGCACTGTCCGTTTTAATTTTATTTGAAAGAACTTGCAGACTTGAGTTTGTGATTGCAAACACATAGCTGGAGCCCAGGTTGCTCAGGTTAAGTTGTAACTTTATGGGAATTTGAGGGTTATTCACCCTGCCACTCCTCCTGTGCTGCCTCAGGGTTGGATTTAGCAAACAGATTGCATCTGGTCTGCCTTTCCTGGGTTAGAAATTCTCTGGGCTTTGTGTACATTGTTTGGGGTTTTCTGAGAAGCTGGGAATTAGAGGCCTCTTCTCCTTCCTTCCCACTCCTGGGCAGTTTAAGTCCCTAGAGGAGCTGCTTATCTTCATTTCTTTGCCCGGAATTTTATCTGTTCCTTATCTTATCTTTCCTTGAAAGCACAAAATCTACCTTTATGTTCCCCATTCCCAGCCTCAAATCTCAACCTAGGATAAGAGAAAAACCAGGGAGTAACGCAAAAACTCACAGGGCTCCCCTGTTTGATGACTTCTCTTTTCAGGAAGAGAATGGGTGTTAGTGTCAATTCTGCTTGATTACCTTTTCATCTCTACTTCCTTCGCTTACTTAATGCACTGCCTGGGAGGACAAATTATTTTATAAAGAATAGACGAAATGCAATCCCAGCACTTTGGGAGGCTGAGGTGGGTGGATCTCCTAAGGCCAGAAGTTCGACACCAGCCTAGCCAACATGGTGAAACCCCATCTATACTAAAAATGCAAAAAATTAGCCAGGTGTGGTGCTGGGCACCTGTATTCTAGCTACTCGGAAGTCTGAGGCAGGGGAATCGCTGGAACCTGGGAGGCAGAGGTTGTGGTGAGTCGAGATCACCCCACTGCACTCCAGCCTGGGTGACAGAGTGAGACTCTCAAAAAAAAAGAAAAAGAATAGACAAAGGATTACCATTCCCAGGCTAGCCCTCTGTAGCTACAGCCAACGTCAGAAAAAAGTTCTTAAAAGGGCCGGGCGTGGTGGCTCAAGCCTGTAATCCCAGCACTTTGGGAGGTCGAGGCGGGTGGATCACAAGGTCAAGAGATCGAGACCATCCTGGTCAACATGGTGAAACCCCGTCTCTACTAAAAATACAAAACATTAGCTGGGCATGGCGGTGCGTGCCTGTAATCCCAGCTACTCAGGAGGCTGAGGCAGGAGAATTGCCTGAACCCAGGAGGCGGAGGTTGCGGTGAGCCGAGATCGTGCCATTGCACTCCAGCCTGGGTAACATGAGTGAAACTCCGTCTCAAAAAAAAAAAAAAAAAAAAGTTCTTAAAAGGGACTTCACATTCTTTCCATGGAATTCCTGAAAACCCATTTGTAAATGGAGCAATCTGTAAATGTTCCTTGTTTGGGACTTAACGGTATCTTATATTCGCAGAGCACTTTACACTTTCCAAGGGATCTGGCATTAATCCAGCATCTGCTTGTGCTGAGGATGCTGCTCCTGTCATCCCCCAGCAGCCCCTGTGAGGAGGTATCACCATCCCTTCTCCATTTATTCTTCCACAAATATTTAAGCAATGAACCTTCCTGGTTTAAACAAAAGTTGTAGAAACAAAGGTAGACGTGCTGATTGTAAGAAAGAAAAAAGGCCGGGCATGGTGGCTCATGCTTGTAATCCCAGCACTTTGGGAGGCCGAGGTGGGCCGATCACGAGGTCAGGAATTCGAGACCAGCCTGACCAACATGGTGAAACCCCGTCTCTATGAAAAGTACAAAAATTAGCCAGATGTAATGGCTTATGCCTGATATCCCAGCTACTCAGGAGGCTGAGACAGGAGAATTGCTCGAATCTGGGAGGCGAAGGTTGCAGTGAACCAAGATCACACCACTGCACTCCAGCCTGGGCAACAGAGCGAGACTCCATCTCAAAAAAAAAAAAAAAAGGAGTTTAAAAGGATAGAAAGCTGTACCTCTGGCTTCCTCAGCCCTTAACGATGTCCCTCTTAGTACCTAAGGGACAGGAATAGTGATCAATGGGAAGCACTGAGGTGGTGGTAAGGGAGTCTGACCTCCTCAGCTAGGCAAAGCCATGGGAGGAATCTACAGTGAGTCAGTTCTCTGGGAAGTGGGTTGGGTGAATGCTGGAATTTCATCAGTGGTCGGAGCCTGAATGTGCCGGGTCTTGTATGTGAAGAGGTGAGAGATTTAGAGCAATGCCGTGTCTAAGCTTGGAAACTAGATGACAGGCCTTGCCCAGCAGCACTGGCACTGGGAGTTCCAGAGTCAAGCTCAGCTTTTCCATTGACCACCATGGGCCTTGGACCAGAGGCTTCCAGGCCCTAAGCCTCAGTTTTCCCTTCAGGAAAATGGAGTGATTGGACGGGATGCTCTGGTCTTCCCGTGTTGACAGGGGAAATGGCTTTCTTGCCTTTGAAGCTGAATCCGTCTTCTTTAATTTTTCTTTTCTTTTCTTTTCTTTTCAGAGGGAGTTTTGCTCTTGTTGCCAAGGCTGGAGTGCAATGGCATGATCTCGGCTCACTGTAACCTCTGCCTCCTGGGTTCAAGCGATTCTCCTGCCTCAGCCTCCAAAGTAGCTGGGATTACAGGCATGTGCCACCACACCTGGCTAATTTTGTATTTTTGGTAGAGACGGGGTTTCTCCATGTTGGTCAGGCTGGTGTCGAACTCCCGGCCTCAGGTGATCCGTCCGCCTTGGCCTCCCAAAGTGCTGAGATTATAGGCATGAGCCACCAGGCTTGGCTTTTTTTTTTTTTTTTTTTTTTGAGACAGAGTCCCACTCTGTTGCCCAGCCTGGAGTGCAGTGGTGTGATCTTGGCTCACAGCACCTCCACATCGTGGGTTCAAGTGATTTTCCTGCCTCAGCCTCCCAAGTTGCTGGGATTACAGATGTGTGCCACCATGCCTGACTAATTTTTTATTTTTCCAGTAGAGACAGGTTTCACCATGTTGGCCAGGCTGGTCTTGATCTCCTAACCTTGTGATCCACCCATCTTGGCCTCCCAAAGTGGAGCCACCGTGCCCAGCCTGGATCTGTTTTCTTTATGGGGAGTGGAGTGGGAAGCACACGCAGGCACAGTCACACACGGGAGGCCATTCTGCTCTAGGTGCTGGAGACGCAGCAGTGGGCAGCACTGACATAGGTCCTAGCCCTTGCTCTAGGGAGCTCACAGAATGTCAGTAGGACAGACACTGAACAAGGAATTAAATAGTGCTTCACTGAGGTTAGGAGAGAGACCACGATGATGATAAGGAGCCCATATGTGAAGGGCACAAGGGAGTTCCAGGCAGAGGGAGCAGCCATACAAAGGCTGTAGACAGGAGCATGACTGCCATGCTTGGGGAACCGAGAAAGGCTGAGTGGCACAGTGGTGAGGGGAGATGAATAGGCAGTGACTTCTCGCTCACAGTCTGGCTTAGGTACAGAGTCCTGTTTGGAAATGAGAAACAGGACTAGGCGACCCACCTCGGTTTCTTTCTCCCTGTGTAGGGAGGACACACACACACAGACACACACACACAGACACACACACCTTTGGATATAGCCAGGTAGAGGCTGCTGCCCTTCAGCTGAGCTTTGCAGCAGATCATTCAAGTCAGGAAAAAGTCTGTTCTTCTCCCCCCACTCCCACCGGTGGGGGGACTTTGGGGTCTCGCCCAAGGAAAGGAAGCACTGCTTCCTGGTTTATGTTGAGATGGGAAAGACTTGCCCAAGAACAATGGCGTTTTTGCAAAACACCACTTTGTTCTGGTGAGACCAGGAGGTGGTTTCCTTCGGGACCTAGCCTGGTCCCACTGCCCCAGACCTGCCAACCACAACAGCCACATGGCGTTCTCTCTGGGACCAACCTTTCATCTGAGACACTTGCTCACGCACAGCTCTGACTGGCTTAACCCTTTGGGCCCCACCCTGCCCAGGCAGCAGCATCTCAGGGCTCATGCAGATGTCCTTGGAGATCCCAGGACATGCTGGCCAGGGGAGCTAAGGCTGATGGGATGGGGAACCAATCAGACTTAACATGCTATTTTTCCATTCGAAAGGACCTTCTGGAAAAAGGACTCAGACCTATCCTAGGAGTGGCTCAGCTCAAAAAAACCTTTAAAGCAGCAGAGTCAGAAGGTCATACTTTTCTAGGTGGAAAAACTGGGGTGGAGGAAAAAAAAGTGACTTCCTCAAGGCCACACATAGAGTTAGTTGTGGGGCCAAGTCTGGAATCCATGGCTCTGACTCTCAGCTCTTAAACATGTATGTATGTA